TTTGGTTTATCCATCCTTTTATTCGATTAGGTAGAGAGTGATACTCCATTTTTTTTTGTGAAAATTCAATGATCATCTAATTACTATTCTAAATATTACTTATTTTGCTTATATACTTTATCTTATAACTCTTCAATACCACTTCATTAAAAGGACCATATGAATATAATCATCAAATGCTCAATTTATGAGTCATAATCATTATATTTTTATACACATTGTAACATATGTTACTTGTATTTAGGAATTTTTATGAACATTGCATCCCGATAAAGACATTTTTGTAATAAGCGAATTCATGAACTTAAAGAAACAAGCATCTTCTTTAACCCATGGGTCTTCTTTCACCTATGATGAACATTTGCTTAAATTACTTCTCTTCCTTATACTTTTTTCCCTGTATATTCTACCTTTTTAATTTACTTTTATATCCCTAATAGCTATCAAACAATCTCTATTTGTTTCATCTGGAGAGCTAGAGAGAGATGGCCCCTAGAATCTTCTTTCACATATGATGAACATTTTCATACTTACTTCCCTGTATATTCTACCTTCTTAATTTCCTTTTATATCCCTAATAGCTATCAAACAATCTCAATTTATTTCATCTGGAGAGCTAGAGAGAGATGGCCCCTAGAAATTGCAGTGGCCAATTAAAACGTTAGATCCTTCAAGGAAACTATTTCTTAAGAGGTAATCTATTACACCCCTATAAAATTTGCTGATTTTCATTCCCGTATGTGTTTTCAAGTGTTTCTCAAATTCCATTCCATAGTATGACATTTTTTGACATCTTCGACAATTAAAATTTTGATATTTTCCTACTTTTGAATCTCTATATTCAATAGTGATGTTCCCTTAGATTTTGATGAGTGATACATGCATTCTAAGTATTCCTCCACCATAAATAAGTTCCAAGTATGGTAAAATTATTTGTGGTTATTGATCGTGCTATTCTATAAACACATCTCAGCTACGAAACTTCTTTGCTCATAGACTCCATCAAGGTGCAAGCATCTTGGCAAAAAATTCCAAGCAACTCCTAAGCCTTAGCATAAGCCTTCCAAGTATCTACCACTCTTCCAGACCAAGTTAAAAAATAGCCTTACATGATAATAGTTGGATTAAAATGACATTGTTTGATTAACTACCTTTGCATGCATAAAATGTATGTTTTTTAAGTGTTCAGCCTAACAACCAGCTCAAATCAACTTGGATCTGAACTAGACTTGGCATAATATCAAAATCACTGATTTCAATCAGACTTAATTTAAAGTGTCTTCTAATCTTCAAGCAAAATTCACAACCCTAATTTGATGGCTTTATTCTTCCACTAAAAATGCTACAAATTTGAGATATAATAGGCATAAAATAAATAAAATATATCAATGAATGTTTCCTAATCAACCCAAAATTCTAAATCAATTTTCAAGAGGCATTAGATGGTATTCCTATCAGTTAACTGCTTACATAAATTTTATTTCCTATTCATGCTCATTTAAATAAGAAAATCGTTCTACCGCATTCGATCCCCTTTTAAGCACAATGTATTAGCACTTTTCACAAGCTTATAATCATCAAGCAAGAACTCAGGAGATAATTTCTTGGACCTAAAGAAGCATTCTAAAATAATAAGGAAAAAAAGAATGCCATAATTTTTTATATGACTAAAATAAATTCATTTTGATGATTTTTGATAAAACATATTATAGATATATATAGTTGCAAAAATAAAAGTAGCCAATAAAAAAAAACTAACATTTTATTGATAAATTTATAATGAGAAAGATAAATTAAGCCTTAGAATCTTATCCTACGAATTTACACAGCAGAGTAACCTGTGCTTCCTTTTGAGCTGTTTCATAAAGAATTATCTGCCTCTGAAAATTCTCACGGATTGGTACCTCCACATACGAAATCCGACTCAGCCTAAGACACTTAGCTGATTTTGTGCTCCATTAAGCCATTATGATGCAGGTCCTTCCATCACATATATAAGAACTTTAGCTCACACTTCTGCTCAGCAACAACTGGAGCAACAAAAGAAAGGAAATCCCAAGCAGGAACTGATGTCCGTTTAAATAATTAATGAACTGTCGCCACCTGAAATTTCAACCAGTAGACAGCTTCTGAAAAAGCCTGTTGTTCATTTGCAAAATCTCCATCATAAATCAAAGAAAGTAGAAATTTTATAAAGCTTGGCTACTGCTTCATGCCATAAGTTATGGATAGAATTGCAAGGAAATGGTTCAAAATCTGAAGAGTAAAAATTCACACTGTTAGAAAGGAGTATTACAATAGGAGACGAGAAGTGTTGTTATGGAGCAGCTACAGAACTATGGGTTGTTGTGGAGAGACTAAAGTTATCTTAAGCTCAACATGGCCATCTATATAGGTTAAAGCACAGCACAGGCACAATTTGTTTTTCCACAAGAATGGCTAATTCAAAATAAACATTTATGCTCTATAAACAGAAAAAAATTCTCTATTAAAGAGTAAGGTTTTTTAAGATTACCAACATACTTGCAGAAGACATTAAAATTGAGTCACCTTAATATATGCTACTAGAAAAATACTGTATCAATAGGTGAAATTTTAAAGCATTACTAAAACTAGAATGACAAGTGTAATTTTGACGACACTCACAAAAAAGATTAGCTAAGTTGAATAACAAATTACACAAAGAAAAATATCTCTAGAAATTACAGCTTTCCAATTAGATGTACACTTAAAAATACAAATTTCATCAATCAGCTTACCAGTTTTCATCTGTAAATTCACTGTTTTCATGAAGTACTTCTTCCTTGGCAAATTCCTCCAGTAATTCTCGTTGGCGCTCATTTACTGATCTGAAAGAAATTAATAATGAAGCAGTTTAGTTATAAGCAGACAAGGAGTGTAGTAATAATGTAATTCTGGCCTACCATCAATGATTTTTTCAAGAAAAAAACATGAATTCTTGGAAACTATATCATCTTTTCTTGACAAAAAATTATTCAACAGTAAATTCCTGGTGACAAAAAGCCATTAGCATAGATTAATGCTGCTTTTTTGGAGTTCACTTATTTAGCTCTTCTTGCCCGTTCTAGTTAGAGTTTCATAAAGTTATAGCTGTACTTCAGCAAACAATTTTCTCAACCGCAAAACAAGACAATTTTGCCTTCAATCTTTTCTTACCTGTTTTTTTCCCTCCACTAGTAAAAGTAATGGTAGCACCCTCACCATGTTTCTTTCCCTTTTCCATTGAGAAAGAACACGGCATCACAACCTACATAGATACCCTATCCTTAGATGTTTTCACCATGTTTTCTCAAATGTTGCTTCTAAAGGTTATGCAATTCATTGAAAGCTCTCATTCTACCGGTATTTTCATGGGTGGTCATATTTGAAGTTAAAAGTTTGAAGCATAACCATTATGAGATTAACAAAGGAAATTGTAATGGTTTATTTTCTTGCTAGGGTATGGTTTATTTCTTCTTATTTTAACCCATGATATAAAAAATCTACAAATAGTGACACATTCTCCTATTTTTCTTATGTTTGCTAATTTATTTCATGGTATCAAAGCTAGGTTTAATTTAATTATGGCAGATGGTTAAAAAGTGCCCCAGCCTAGTCTAGCAAAGTTATGTAAGACTAGGTTCTTCCTCCATTTTAACAAGCCACACCATCTTCCAATAGTTTCCATAGAGCACTCACATCTTAAAATTACATCCCACAAATTAAATGGGAAAAACTTCCAATGATCATAATCCGTACAAATGGGGAATCAAGTAAGAGGAAAAATAAGATACTTTAATGGGAGCATTCATCAATCAATGATAATGATAAAAAAAAAAAAAATCTACACTTGCAATCAAGAGTATACACTTGCAATCAAGAGTATGGATCAAAATTCAGAGCATGACTCAGAGAAAAGTATTATTTCTGTAAAAAATCCAATTGAACACAATAAATTTATTGCAAACTCCGCGTCAAGCCAGCAAATCCGATCAAACACCGACGTTTACCAAACAAAATGCCAGAAACTAAAGAAAATCATGATAACTTGTCATTGACCAAAGTGCAATCAGACATACAAATTGCCCACTGTAAGAAACTACAAGCTCCCATATTTTAGCCACAAAAAAAGCTTTTCTGTTGCTTTAATTTTACTAAGAGAACAAAAAATTCTAAATAATTGACTCAAAAGCTTCAATCACAGGACAAGGTGGCCCAAATCTTCTCATCCTATATTCCCTCGCCTAGAAGCCTCAATCTAAATTGCTGATGGATCTCTATTCCCAATTGTTTCACTGAGTTTTGCCTGAATTCTACAAGTTCCAAATATCTACTATAGTTTCTTATCCACAAGTAAGATCGGAAATAATTGCAACTGTAAAATCATGTTTGTATTAGAGACATGAATTTCAAGGCCCCAGATCGGTCAAGAGTGCCAGAGATTTGTAATTAGACATACAAATTGCCCACTTTTTAGCCACAAAACAACTTTTCTGTTGCTTTAATTTTACCAAAGAAACCAATAATTCTAAATAATCGGCTCAAAAGCTTCAATCACAGGCAAGGTGGCCCACCTCTTCTCATCCTATAATCCCTCACCTAGAAGTCTCAATCCAAATCTCTGATGTATCTCTTTTCCCAATTGCCAAGATAAGAAGCTTTTAAATTAATTCTCAGTTTTGCCTGAACTCTACTTAACATGTTCCTTGAAACTGTGCATGTTTGCATTTTAAAGTAAGGTAAAAAGTTACAACTGTAGGCTAGAAAGCCTCAAAAAACCATTTGAGAACAGATCACTAAGTCATGGTTCCACAAGGGGCGACTATCATCTAAATCTTTAACAACAAAACTAGATTGTAGAGTAAGTTGAGCACATTGCTGGGCTATAACATCGTTATCTCTAGAGGTATAAGAAAAAAAACTTGTTGAAAATTAGTCAGGAAAGTGAGATCATAATTATGATTACCGTACCATTCCCAAAACTTCCTCTCGAAGGAGTAATGTAGAGTATCAACCACATTGCAATTATCACTTTCCACAATAAGGCCTTTCATTTCATACATCCACGGCTCAACAAGTGTACTTTACATGTTCCGAATATCTATTGTAGTCTCACATCTACAAGATCAACTGTAAAATCATGTGCATATTGCAGACGTGAATTTCAAGGCCAAAATCCGAGGAAGAGATGCCACAGATTTATAATTAGACAAACAAATTGCCCACTTTGAGAAACTACAAGCTCCCCCTTTTTTACCACAAAAAAAGCTTTTCTGTTGCTTTAATTTTACTAAAAGAACAAAAAATTCTAAATAATTGACTCAAAAGCTTCAATCACAGGACAAGGTGGCCCACCACTTCTCATCCTATACTCCCTCACCTAGAAGTTTCAATCGAAATTGCTGATGGATCTCTATTCCCAATTGCCAAGATAAGAAGCATTTAAATTAACTCCGACTTTTGCCGGAATTCTACTTTACATGTTCCAAATATCTACTGTAGTCTGTCATCTACAAGAAAGATTGCAAATAATTGCAACTGCAAAATCATGTTCATATTATAGACGTGAATTTCAATGCCAGATATCGAGAAAGAGATGTCAGAGATTTGTACTAATTTAATGAAAATTTCAAAGAAATGTGTTATAGCGGTATATAAGGACATGCTAGTTTTTCCAATCTCAGAAACTTATTTTCATCATTATTCGCTAATAAAGATATATTTAAAGATGAAATCTATCAACTTGCCAAACACTAAAGAGATTTTCTAACCTAAAATTTATAGAGCTACCAAACCTTTTCCCTTTGTGCATAGTGATATCTAGAGGCCATTCACATTTGAAAACCTTATGTTCAAGTGTGATTTATAACTTTTATCGATAATCATACTCATGTGTTGACTATACTTACTGAAAGATAAATCTTTAAAAATATTCCACAACATGGTTAAAACCCAAATTTTTATTGAAATCTAAATACTTTGATAGAGGTATTGAATATTTTAACCACATTCTAAATCAAAATGGCATATTGATCAACAAAATGGTATAGTCAAATAAAAAATAGACACCTCTTAGAAGAGGCTAGATCTATTATATTTACCACTAATATTCCAAAATATTGTTTGACTAACGCGGGGCTCAAGGGAGGACCGGTCGTTTCTCAAGGGAGGAGGGCTGCCACCCCCTCCATCCCCCTCTTCTTTTCCTTCCTCCTCCTTCCTTCCTTCCTTTCCCCTTTCCTTTTCTTCCTCCTCCTTCCTTCCTCACCTTTCCTTTCTCTCCCCAAAAACCTTTCCTTTCTCTCCCAAAAACCTTTCATTCCTAAGCACTTTCCTATTTTAAATCCTTCCTAAAATCTGAAATCATCAGTATACTTCTTTTTTTTTTTAATAAGTTCAACAAATTCTGAAAATGATCATTCAACAAACAAGTTGACGTAATGTGTGGAAACATGAAGGACAAGATCTCAAATCACGGACAAAAAAGGATTAGTAACCATTTTTAATACCGCAATGGCAACATATTTATATTACAACTGGAGGAGCCACTTTATAAAATATTTAATATTGATGTCCTCTCAGTGTCAAGTAATCTTACTAAATAATCTTATTGTTCAGCGACTACCCAATGATCTGCAGCGCCCATTAGCAAGATTAAAGACTTCCTCAGGATTATAATAGTTACAAAATAATAACAACTGTCTCTAAGAGCTAAACATACGAGAGTGAAAATACTAGCCGAGACGATCATTCTGTGAAGTTCGCGCATCTCCAGTTTGCCCCTTTGGTGGCACCCAGGACTCATAATCTGAACTCGCATCTAGATAATCAGGTTTTACAGGTCCATGGATTCGCACCACATGTGAATGCTCTTTACCAGATTGACCTCCAACTTGTACGTTGTGTTTCTCATCATCTGTAAATTCGTCAATTACATGAATTCCTCGTTTACGCTTCAAAAGCAAGGCATTAACATCGGCTACAAGAGTTTCAGCCTTAGGCGGCAATGGAGCTTCAACTTTTGGAGCTTTTTCAGCACTATGATCAGCTCTTTCTGTAGACTTCCTCTTTCTTATGATGAGACCAGAACCTGCAGTTTCTATGTTGTCATTTATCAGCTGCAGCAAGAAATTTCTTCCTATCTCTGTAGTCAACAAAATCATCTGACATCTCTAAATCCAAGTTAGCTGGAGAACAGTGACTATCTTCTGATTATATCTTCCTTGCGGCACCAAGCCTCTGAGGTTTGGCAATGGCGTAAGCAGTCTTTTTGTCTTCATTATCTCCACAAGCATCGTCAACCTTTTCAGATGGTTTCTCAGCTGGAATCAAATTATGGGATTCCTGAAGAGATGGCCTTGATTTGAGTGTCTCTAAAATGGTGTTTAGCTGTTCATTAGACTGGCAAAGACTTGAGATGCTGGGCACAGATTTGGTAGACTTGGGTGCCTGAGTTTCTGTAGTGTTTGACATTCTTTTTCGAGTAGCTACTCCACTTGGGTCAGCAAATTTTAATAGATATTTTATCCATTTCAGCTCTGCTTGTAAATCAGATAAGTTCTTCTCCATTTGTAAAGCCCTATCAATTACTAACTGTGAAGAAAAACCAATCATGTTGTCAGCCGTTAAAATTGAAAAATATATATTTGATTTAATATAATATATATATTGCTTAATTTTGAAAATACGAGGCCGAATTAATCTCATATCTGCAATAGTTTAAATGATCGAGCACAGCAACGGAATAAACATATTACTTACTAGTGCGACTCAATTAAATAAACTAAAAAATTTATGACATTCATTTTAGTCAGCGAACCTTTATGTTGACCGACAAGTTCCCCTACCTAATATTAAGAATTAGATAGAGTTTATATTACCTGGGTTCTTAAAGCTCCATATTGAGGCAAACCCCGATAGTTAATTAACTCTCAAATGACTAAAGTCACTTGGGAGAACTCTCGATGATGATCAGAGGTATCTATCTTCATGAATTCAAAGTTCAGGGTTTCCAAGATTATACATTGAAAAGTCAAGTAGAGAAAGGGACCAAATGGGAATAATTATTTCTGGAGTCGAAGAAAAGTAGGGGATGTCACAGATCCTGAGGAGAATCTTGGTGACTTCCAAAACTATCCTATTGTTTGGCTTCAATTTCGAGAAGATGTTTTTTTTATGTTTCATTCTGTCAATTTTATTATTTATGACTTATATTTGCATGACATGGTCATACAAATGATCTGAAAAATATGAGGGTTTACAGCGTATCGGACGACAACCTCGGAACCTAAAGCGAGTTAGGGCTTAAATTACACAATCTGGCTGTGCAAAAGCCTAAAAGATAAAGTGAGAATTTATTTCGCGCTAGGCAGACTTCCTCGAAGTCTTATGACTTGTTGTTTAATTCTAAAGAAAGGTTTGTTGTTGTAAATCCGTCCAAGTTGTTTTTCTGTACATCCTCATCGTGCTGCCCACGAAGACTTGTTTCAAACTGTAGAGACTCCAAGCTTAGTTTATGTTTTATATTTGCAAGTATAATTATTGTTGGGTCTCAAGAGTCCGGTGTACCTCCTAACATGTCCTATTGTTCTCTACCCAGGGAGTTTGGCAAATGCATTAAAGTAAATAATGCAATAAGAAGAACAATAAATTACAGGAAACTTAAACAGATTGCTAGAAAATCCAGTATAAGAAAATCATAATAAAAAAACACGAATGAGTAAAACAAAACAAGAAGTGATATATAAAAGACCAAGAGTATGTGACTTAAATATGACATTAGGAATATCCCCAATTATCAGGAGGATGAGTGTAAGGCTCAAGCTCAAATCCCGGAGTATTGAGTTTTACTATAGGTTAAGTCATGGCGGGAATTTCACTACTTGATTTAATTAAAAAAAAGTTATGAACCACATTTTGGTGCATCCTCGTGTCTGGTGTTTTAACTAACTTATAAATTGAGATCAAACGTCTAGTTTCATAATTCATTTGAAAATTAGGTAGATGAACTATCACTTAAGGTGTGCTTATAAAATTTAGGAAGTCTACACTTTAACTTAAACTTGAAATGATTTAAGGTGTTTTACCCTCAATGAAATGTTTTATAACTAATCCTCAAATATCTTTTAAGCGTTTTCCAAATAATTAAATAAGAAATTCTCATTTTTGATTTAATCGTTCGTAAGAAAAGAAGATAACAAAAGCAAATCATCGGAGAAGGAGGCCAATGCACTTCTAATAAATAATAAAAAAAAAATCAAATAAGCAAGGGGTAAAACCGCAAGTGAATCAGCCTAAATGCGTTTAAGTTTTTTCAAAACAATAATCAAATCAGTCAAAAAAAAGCGTAAAAGCCTAAAAACATCAGCACTTAAAATGCCCAAATCGATGTATGAAAGCCTAAAAAACCACAACCATTTCAGCCCAAAAAGGTATTTTAAAAGGCTCCAAATTACAACAAAATCAGCCGAACAACAGACACCCGACGACTTCACGGTTAGGGGCAGTAATAAGCAAACCGAGCCCCGAAAACCGCAGCAAGGTGAGCCGCTAAAACAGACTCACGAGTATGAACGACAAAGAGGACAAACCGAATCCAAGAAAACACCCCAAGCTATATCAAAATACCATCATTCTATCTTTTGGCAAGTAGACCATGCATTTTTCGTGTATATGTAAGGTAGCAGATAGATTAAAATTGAAATTCATGTATCAGATATACAAATGCATGAGGTTTGTGTGGTATATATGAAAATTTCCTTCACAGTCAATCAACGCAACAAAAGCATGAATCTATCCATCAAGAAAGATTGCAAAAATCCATAATTTCAGCATAGGGCATCAACCATAATACTTCAAGTATTAATAAGCTCACAAAACCAACTCAAAGAATGCCCAAATAATAGATTTCAGATAAGGGCAGCAAGGGAGCCACCAAAACTAGCATAAAAAATTGCCCGAACAACAGCTTTCAGGTAAGGACAGCAAAGGAGCCGCCAAAACCAACATAAAAAGTGCCCAAACAGCAGTTTTCAGGTAGGGGCGGCAAGGGAACCCGTCAATACCAACATAAAAAGTGCCCAAACAGCAGTAAACAAAACTTTAGCACCTAAATTCACTCTAAGCAGTCTCCCAAGTAGCACATGTCAAAGTTCAAAAAGAAGCATTTAAGAAATCTTTCTAATCCCACGAATATTCAGTCCAAATGATGCATTTAAAACTTACCCCGACGCCATCGATGTGTTAAGCCCAAAGCAATAGATAGGTTACACCCCAAAGATGCATCCTATCTTTCCAAACTATCAAAGTAAAAGCATAAGCAAACATTTAAACATTAGCTTTCCAAATAAGCAAACTAGGAGCAACGGGAAGCTCCCAATCCTCTTTCCAACCATGCCAAAATCTAAACTAGAGTGTAATCTTAATCATACTTTGAAAGCCATTCATGTTTTGTAAAATAATCCACCCATACATTTCAGATTTTTGCAAAATAAGCATTTTCCTCACATCATTACCATTTGACCCACTCCAAATTTTAGCCTGACCGGTTACTTTATATATGCTTAAAATATAAGATAAATATGAATGTAATAAATATTCAATAATTGTAAAGTCATACTTATCAACGCAAATATACGTATCACTCAAGTAATATAGGACTCTAATGGAGTACTCTAATGCGATCCCACAGGGAGTAGTTTAGAATTACAGACTAAGA